AACTGTACATGGAACAGACTGGTTCCAAATCGGGAAAGGAGTATGTCAAGACTGTATATTGTCACCCTGCTTACTTAACTTAGATGCAGAGTACATCATGACAAATGCTGGACTAGATGAAACACGAGCAGGAATCAAGACACTGGGAGAAATATCAATAACCTCAGACACGCTTCCCTTGTGGCTCAGACGGTAAAGCACCTACCTGCAATGCAGGAGACCTGGGTTTGATCCCTGGTTTGGGAAGATCCCCTGGAGAAGGAAATGGCAACTCACTCCAGTACTCTTGCCTGGAAAACCCCATGGACAGAGGAGCCTGGGACAGGGCTGGGCGACTTCACTTTCACGCAGATGACACCACCCTTATGGCAGAAAGTGAAGAAGAACTAAAGAGCCTCTTGATGAAAGTGAAAGAGGAAAGTGAAAAAGTAGGCTTAAAACTCAACATTCAGAAAACTAAGATCATGGCATCTGGTTTCATCACTTCATGGCAAATAGATGGGGAAATACTGGAAACACTGAGACTTTTTTTGGGGACTCCAAAATCACTGCAGACGGTGACTGCAGCCATGAAATTAAGACGTGTGCTCCTCGGAAGAAAAGCTATGACCAACCTAGACAGCATGTTAAAAAGCATAGACATCACTTGGCCGACAAAGGTCTTTCTGGTCAAAGCTAAGGTTTTTCCAGTAGTCATGTGTGGATATGAGTTGGACCATAAAGCTGAAAGCTGAAGAATAGAGGCTTCTGAACTGTCGTGTTGGAGAAGACTCCTGAGAGTCCCTTGGACTGCAAGGAGATCCCACTAGTCAATCCTAAAGGAGATCAGTCTTGAATATTCCTTGGAAGGACTGTCGCTGAAGCTCCTGTACTTTGGCATTTAATTCGAAGAACTGACTCCTTGGAAAAGCCCCTGATCCTGGGAAAGATTGAGGGCAGGAGGAGAAGGGGACAACAGAGGATGAGGTGGTTGGATGGCATCACCAATTCAATGGACAGGATTTTGAGCAAGCTCCAGGAGTTGGTGAAGGACAGGGAAGCCTGGCATGCTGCAGTCCATGGGGTTGCAAAGAGTCGACATAAAACTGAGTGACTCAACAACAAAGATAAGGGAGAACATATTTCATTTCAAAATCTCTACTTGGTTGTGGCTTTTATCTTATTTTGGCCATCATGCAGCACATGGAATCTTAGTTCCCCATCCTGGGACTGAACCCACTCCCTCTGCATTGGAAATCCAGAATCTTAATCACTGGACTGCCAAGGAAGTCCTGTGACTTTAACTGTTTATTTTACAAGCACTCACTACCTTTTACTAGGACTTGACATTTAACCCGTGACTGTAATTTTACATGGGAATTTCTAGTTTTTATCTGGATCCCAAAATGGAACATCTGTATTTGAAGCCTGATACAAGCATAACTGAAGCTTCTATAATGGAATTTCACAGTTTTCCCAAGTGTAGCAACGCATGGGATACATTTTGAATAGCATGAAATAAGAGGCTGTTAATTCTTACATAGATACAGAATTGATATTTTAAATACTCTTTACCCTCAGAAAATCCAGGAAGTTTAAGGTTATAATTAGAAGAAATTCATCAAATTATTAATTATACCACTGTTGAAACATGCAGAAATGCAGCTGCAATGGAAGGGATATAGTTCAGTCTATTTTATACTCCAGTTTTAAGTTTTCCTGGAGAGCTACAACTTAGGCAGAAGAAAAAAACCAAAGCTAAATATAATGCTGCCTTCTCAACTAAAGAAAAACAAATAAAATCACCTTATCAGGGATACAAGAGGAAAAACATGCCCACTGAAGTCTCCTCAAAATGGTTCCTAGAGGCTTGTCATGTAATGCTTGGCCCTCTGGGGTTTAGCAGGGATCTTCAAGGACAGAAATTTTTTTTTGTTGTTGTTGCCTTAGAACAACTCAGTAAGACTGGGTGCTTTCCCGAAGCATTTATTTTTATTTTAGGTCTTTCCATCAATGTTTTTGTTCTCAAACACCCCAGAGTCCTCATTTTATAGAACAAAATCAGCAGGATAGGCCTAGTCAATTAGACGGTCTTGCAAAAGTTATGTAAAAACTGGGTAGTCAAGAGGCAGTCATGGTAGAGTACAATGAACAGAGGTTTGTTATATATTCCTTTGGGACAGCTGTGCATTTCCCTCATGTTCAAGGGGCAGCAAAGCAAAAAGCTACTGTTTTAAGAACTAGGCAAGGCCTCAGTGTGAAAGAGCTCCCTCTATTTAATCTTCTGCTGCCATTCCTCAGCTGGTAATTTTTCTTTCTTGTGGTAACTGCTAGGTTTTGCACTTCCTATGGACAGGAAATCAACCACGATTAAAATACAGCTTTGCCAACAGAAAAAATTAACAGCCTAAGAAAAAAGATGGGAGACTTTATTCAAGCCAATTTGAGGATTATAATCTGGGAGACAATCAGAAAGCTCTGGGGACTGTTCTGCCAATTAGGTCAACGCACCCTAAGTTTTGGGGGCAAAGATGAGGACTGGTGGCGGGTAATCAGTCGCTCAGTTGTTTGACTCTGTGACCTTGTCGACTGTAGCCTGCCAGGCTCCTCTGTCCATGGGGTTCCCAAGGCAAGAATACTGGAGTGGGCTGTATCCCCCTGTACTATACAAACCCAGGGATCAAACCTGGGTCTCCTGCATTGGCAGGTGGATTCTTTACCACTGAACTACTGGGAAAGCCTTTTGGGTTTATGTCAAATGATAGTATGACACTGTTTATGCTATTTAGAGTTTACACAATCCAGACCCACAGGAATAGTGGGTCACAGGTTATCACAGTCCCTTACGAGGAGGAGTGTGGGAGGATTTGTTTGTGTGTGGGCTTTCTGACTGAGTACTAACCAAAATTTTTAATGCACAAAACCAAAACAAAATTAAAAAAAGAAGGAAGTGTATCTCCTTGTGTCCACTGATGAGATTAAGATGGAATGTCATCTCCTAAGGAGCTCTGGTTTATGCAGGTGCACAATATAGGCTAAAGGGGAGAGAGGAAGCCCAAAGGGGTAAGGAGAAACTGTAAGCTTTTATTTTGCTATAAAACAAGACTTTTACCAATTCTTACCTGAGTTATGGGAAGTCTGAGGTGAAACAGACATGAAGGCTAGGCTGAGTATAGCAGTGGTGAACTGCGGGGAGGACCCTCTTGCAGGACCTATTTCTTTTTCAAGGGCAATCCCTAAATCTATCCCTTAAAAGAAAAATCTGAAAGAGATATATAATATCCAATATATTCAACAGCATCTTCCTCTTGATGCATAAGCAGCATGAAGATTTTGTTAACAGCATCCACAGAAAACAAATATACCAGTAAATATCATTTTACTTCATCTGAGAATAAGAGTTCCAAAACAGAAACACAATACTCACAAGGGCCATACAATTACCAAATAAAGTTCAAAGATTTTTAACAGTCCTTTTTACTTTTAGACTGTATTCCACAAATGACGGCAGGCCAGTTATTATGTACAGGAATCATGGAATCATTCCCTCCCATGGCTATGTAAGTTCTTAGCTAGTGAAGTTTGATCCAGCAGTTTGTTGGGATTCCAGCTGCTGACAGTTCAAAGCTTTTAATGGTTGTGGCTTTGGGCCCACAACAGACAAGGGTCTACTGTACTTTGAGATTACAGAAAAGACTCAAAACAACTCCATCTCCAGAATTCTGCAAAATAATCCTATTTCACAATCATGTGATCAACGATTACCTCTCTAATGACTGAAGACATGCTGTTCAGATGCATGCTTTCTGGCTGAATAAGCTGATTCTTCACGTACTGTTTAACTTCTAGTAACATAACGGGATGATAGAAGATGAGATGGTTGGATGGCATCACTGACTCGATGGACATGGCTCTGGGTGGACTCTGGGATATGGTGATTGACAGGGAGGCCTGGCGTGCTGTGGTTCATGGGGTCACAAAAAGTCAGACACAACTGAGCAACTGAACTGACTAACTGAACATTGAAACTAATGTATTTTCATGTATTCAGTTAATTATTATTAAAACTTGATAAATACTATCCTGATCATTCAAGCTTTTAAAATCTGGCTCATTTTTAAGCTTGAAATTATGAATTTGGTAATGTATGATATTCTCAGACCAACTTAATGTTATGTATTATCACATCAAGACATACAGGTCTAAAGAAATCTCCTGACTAGCATTATCTTGACCCTAATACAAAATTTCTACTTACTTAACAGGTTATTAGAGATACTGAGTCCCTTCATATTCTATATGATTAGCTTAAGATTTTCTACTTTGGGTTCCAGCAGTACTCAGCGCTATACCCTGTATCGCAGACTTCTTAAATTATAGAGACAGGAATGTACACTTTTTATATTCTTTCAGAGCACAGTTGAAAAGCAACACCACCTACCATGTTAGGTACTTTCTTACATGTGTGGACTACTCCACAGCATGTATCTCAAGTCCCTTGCATCTTAAAATCATACATTAACTTGTTCCATTAGAATGGAATTATTAACCAGGAATTTATTAACCAGGAATTACCAGAAGGCCTTCAGGAGTTGGGAGGGGGGCTCCCATTTGTGTTTCAAGGACTTTTCTGAAGAGAAAACCATGGCTTTATTAAAAGATCAAGCAGGTCTATGATCCTCCACATCCTACAGAGTTTAGAAATCACCTCACTGGATTATCTTATTTTATAAACTTTTCTGGTCCTGCTCTCCAAAGTTCTGGAACCTCTAGCAAGTTGTAATTTTATAAACAGGGCCTGACACTTTGATTCCACTTTTACAGTCTTAGCATACAATTAAATATACTGCATGTTCAGCACGTAAAAGATTTTAAGTATTGTTATATATATCTGGATTGTATTTTAATCCACAATACTTCACAGAGCTCATGATTTTAAACAAAAGCACATTAAATCATATCTGAAGTTCTAAATCTTCTAAATACATTAACAGTGAAACCTGTCATTGTTTCAAAAATTACTAGGAAGTACGTGATTGTCTTGAAATGAACTTGGAGTAAAAGGCAGCCAGGAGGTCCTTGTAAGGAGTGTCTGAATCTAACTTGGTCAACGGGATCCTGCAGAGTTGGCGGAACCGAGGAGAACGGAGCAGCAAGCTCTGTGACAGGCCCATGAAGCTGGAGCACAGCCAGTACAGGACGATGGACTGCGACGAGAAGAAAGGACACAATGTCAGCGTCTCTCCGTTCTCCAAGGTCTGGAGACAGGTAGGCAGGAAGAAAGACAATCAACCACCTCTGTAGACCCAGCACCAGGACTGAGCAAGACCTTCAGTACTAATAGATACCTGGGTCAGATCTAACAGATAGGTAGGAAAGTTGAAAGGAAGACCCCCAAAATGAAAAGAAACCAAAAGGAGAGGTATTGGTGACACAAAGTGGATGGCAGAGAACTGCTCCCAGGCAGAGGTCCAAGAGAGGTCTCATTTCCTTCTCTGGCAATTAGGCATACTGTTTCCCCACCAGGAGTCTCGACAAACGGCTACCCAGCAGGCAGGCTGCTGGCGGCACAGCCATTTATGACGGCAAACTTAGCTTCCCTACACCTATACACAGTCACCTATCTTCCTAACTAGGAACTAGTTCCTAACTTAGGAACTAGTTTCTAAGTGTAGTCAGGAATAGATTGTCTTTGCCTTTTCCTGAGACAAAGTGTCTCAGCCCAACCCTCTACTTTCTTTTCTACCACCACTGAGAGCCAGTTATTTAGGTCAAAGAGCTGTTTTTCTCATGTCTTCGCAGAGCTGTTACATTAAGTTGCCTAATTCTGACTTTCCTATATATGAAAGGATCCACTTTTGGATATTTAAGACATTGTTTTTTGGTCTCTGTTACTCACTTGGAACCCAACTTTTCATTAGAACTTCACTGCTACTTGACTTGATCTGGGGGTTTCCTCAGTTATAATTGGTAGTCTTTTAGTCTGCAGCCTCTTGAAACATCCCCACATACACATACAAACATACATCCATACACACATACATCTTTTCTCAACTTTTCTTTGGTATCAGAAGGTAATCATTAGGACCCAGAGGCAAGACCATGTGCTAGCTGAGTCCAGTCCTGGGGTCAAACTGCCTGAGTTTGAAATCTATTTATTTAACTTTTGGCAAGTTATTTTTCTTGTTTCAGTTTTCTCTTCTATAAAATGAGGGACAGACTGTACCCAGGGATGCTGTGAAGAATAAATGAGAAAATTCATGTAGTGTGGTAAGAACAGTAAGTGGCTCATATTAAGCATTTATTTGTTCCAGAACAAGTTTTTAAGGGAAGTAATGAAATCTTAAAGGTAGATAAGCATAGTCTATAAACAGTAAGAGCCAAAATGCCTGGATCCATGTGAAGACTCTGCCACTGAACAGATGAGTGACCATGAGTTACTTAACCTCTCTCGGGGTTAAACTGGAGATTATAATAGCACCTACTTCAGTGCACTGTTGGGAGAAATATATGTACTCATACATACGTGTGTGTGTGTGTGTATGTATGTACATAAATGACTTAAAACAGGGCCTGGCACAAAGTTCATGATGATTAAATATTAGCTAGCATCATCATCAAACTTATCTATGAAGCGAACAGCACCCTGGTCCCACCTACTTCAGACTACAAACTGCCTACTAAGTATCATTCATCTTCGTTAGTAATAAAATCCTAATTTTCAGCAAGGTATATTGCCATCTGAAAAAAAAAAAAAGACTGTTTTTCATCCTCTTCTGCAGTTCGGTATGGCCACATATTTAAGATGTAAGCACAAGTGTTTGGTAGGGCATCTGGCAAGGGTTCTTAAGTGGTTGACTGCAGTTGAAGCATCTGACTGTAGCTGAAGCACCCTTTTACTATTCTTGCAAGATAACAAGCTTCAGTGGCCATCATGACTATCCTGCGGCCTTCAAGACAAGAAGGACAGGTTGTGGACGATGCAGCGTTGAGAGAACTAGGCAATCTTTCTCATATCTTCATGAGCTCCGTATCAGCTCTACATTAAATGCCTCATTCTGACTTTCCTACATATGAAAAGGTCTCTGTTACTCACTTGGAACCCAACTTCTCATTAGAACTTTACTGCTATTTTACTTGATCTGTGGGTTTCCTCAGTTATAACTGGTATTATTTCTCCTTAGAAATGTAGTGAATTTGCATTATTATGTTTTTACAGAGTATTTTATAACATTATTATTATATGAGAAGTACTATAACAGGCACTTGTTATTTCATTAATTTTCATAGACATTATGGTGTCTATTTTAGAAATGAGGAAACTTATTTTACACAGGATTAATGACAGTACTATGTCTAAGTGACAGATAAAAAGTATTTAACAGACATTTTTGATGCTGAAAACATATTATTTCAGATTTTTAAGACAAGTCCTATGAAGTACTTTTATACAAGGGACAGAACTTGAACCACCAGGAACAAATGACTACTACTTTATGGTCTCTGTGTTGATTCTGAGCAAAGACAGATATACTGATACAGCTTTACCCATCTTAGCACTAAAGTATCCATGAAAAAGAAGCAAAAGGCTAAAAAATGAAATAACTGCAAATATAACATTATTTTTCTATTTCTATAAAAGTTTAATTACATATAAATGGGGGCAAGTATACCTATCTTATAAAATTTCTATGAGATCAAATAATATTACATATGAACCAACCCATGTGGACCCTTGGCGGGGAAAAATTTTTGTTTCTTTTTTATATGCTAAATTCCTTGGATCCCTCTGTGAAGACAAAAAGAATTCAATACATCAACTAATCAAACAGAGCAAATGCTACATTCATAGTACTGTTCATAGTACTCTGCAAGATTAAAAAAAAAAAAAGAGGAAAATGGAGGGGTAAGAAACATTCACATAAAGGAAGATTAACCAAGCCCAAGAAATATTCAGATGTCACCTGGTGACAGAGTCAGTAGATTTGTTATCACAGAAATCAGAAACCAGTACGGGATTAAGTAGTCAGAGGAAGCACAACAGAAGAGGCACAACGTCAGTCAGTCTAAGTTAAAAACAGAGAATTTATATTTAGCTCACGCTTCACACAACGCTGGTGCTTACTCACTGAAGGTACTGTCGCCGCGATTGGAATCATCAACACTGACACTGCACGAACAAAGTACGTAACATACTTCTGAAAACGAGCCTTTCCAAGTTTCTGCAGAGCAAAAATCTGAAGGGGTAAAATATACACACACATGCTGATTAGCTAAATACACATTTAAATGAGACAAGCTTTAAAATGCAAAGTGATCTTTGACTGGCCTCTACCTATATTTTAACAAAAGCAATAAAAATAAAAAAACAAAACACTGATTTGTTGGTCAACTATCATTGGTTGATCAACTATCTTTTAAAAAATGTGGTAATTATTATGTAAAATTCTTAAATGGAACTAAGTAACAACAATAAAGAGATTCATCTATATTAAATAGGATCAAAGCATAATTTTTATAGATCAATGTTTTTTAAAGATTGTAAAACTGAAGCCCCTTCAAGATAGGTATTATGTATGAATCATTACCCTTGTTTTTCAGCACCTAAATACAGGGCCTGGCATAGAGCAAGAACTTAACAAGGATCTGAAAGGTTTGTGGTCTGGTCACATGGACCACGGAAAAGCACTAAGAAGGCTAGGAAGAGGAGTTGTGGTTTATGAATTACTTACAAGGCAGCTTAGCTTAATGATTATGAGCACGGATTCTGCAGTTCTACACCCAAATTACGAGATTCACATGGCAGTCCACATTTAGTGGTTACGTGACTTTGGGCAAGTTACTTCACCTTTCTGTGACTCCCATTCTCCACCTTAAGATGGGGATAATAACAGCACCTACATCATAGGACTACTGTTAAGAATTAAATGAGTTAATTCATGTGAACTGCTCACAATAGTGCCTGGTACATAGTAAATGTTAAGCAAGAATAGGCTTTTATTAAATTTATGCATGCTGGGTTGTTAGATGGAATAAAAGAAAGATGAGAAGACTGACATTAATTCACTGTGACCCTGTTCATCACTTCCTTCTTCCTAAGAAATACTAATTACTAACCAAGTTCACAGGACTATGCTAGATGCTCTTAGGGTAGCATACTTAAGACTACACATAGAGTCTTTCCTCAGGTCTTTTCTCTCTAAGACCTCAGAGAATCTTCATATTTCTCATCTTATTTCAAAAAATAAGGGGTGTATTAGATTTACCAAACAGCAATCAGCAGATACGAGGTCTGTGAAATCTCAACTGCATTAAATCTTTCCTAAGATTTCTTCCAGTTAAAGGGTCTACGATTTTCTCAAGAGTCTAAGAACAATTCTTTATGGAACTAAAGACAAGTTTCCCCTAAACTCAAGTTGGGTAAAGTAGCATGAGCTGATGGTAAGATATGGCTAAGGGGTCGTATTTTATATGTATGTTTCTCCATTCCATTTTATGAAGAAATTCTATGACTAAAAATGGCAGTCAGGTATGTTTAACTGACATATTAAACATACACACAAAACATCAACATATTGTGGGAATAAGACCATACTGACATCTTAATCGCTGCCTCTACCAAAAAGCGAATCACGAAACTGTTATGTACTAGCATTGAACCATTTTACAGTTGAAGGAGATTTTGGAACTGTTCCAATTCAGCTCTCTTATTTTAAATTATGAGCATTCTGACCCCCCAGAGAGGTTAAGGAACTGGCGCCAGAAAATTAATCAACAGCTGATCTGAGACCAAAACCAAGGGGTCTCATGACTAGCTAAGACTCTGCGCCCACTATGCAGGCGGCCCAGGTTCGATCCCTGGTCAGGGAACTAGATCCGACATGCCACAACTCAAAGTTCCTACATGTCACAACTAAGACCTAGTGCAGTTAAATATATTAAAAAAACAAAAAAACAAGGAGTCTCAATGTTAGCTCAGAGCTATCACCAGTAACTCAAATTCATTTATATCTGATGTCAGGACAGCAACAAAAATCTCAATGATTTAAATGGCAAGCAAATCTTATTTAAAACCACTGACCTCCACTATTAATAAATTGATGACACCAACGGAAACAGGAAGAATCCAAGTGGAATCCAGAGCAGTGAGGTCATGAAACCACAGGACCCCACCAGTAGTTAACTGCTCCTGAACAGAAAAACCTGCTGAAACATTTTTATAAATAAAACAAAAGAATTTCTAAAAATAGCAGAGGGAAGTGATTCCAGTAAGGTGTTCCTCACACTGAAGACTTGCATTTTTTATTCAGGTTATTTTCACTTCACAACATAAGTTATTTCTTGTACTGAGAAAGAGGTAAGAAGTTTCTGGAGCAAATGGATGTGGAGACACTTAAAGACATGTAGCAGTAACCTTTACAGACTGAAATTAAAAAAATTACTTGTCTACAGGCTGCTTTCTTTCAAGTCAATTTAGATTACTTTATGGTTAGAAATGCCTTTAAATGAAAGTAAAAACAAGTCCCTTAGTTTGTAACCTTTCGTATTAATACGTACACTTATAACTGTGAAAGTTTTTCTGGCTTCTTAAATTTATAAATAGAAAAAATTCATGGCCCTGAAACCATATTATGGAATTATAACACTAATTTTATTAAGACTTCCAAGAAGTAGTACTAGTGACATCCTTCCTAAACTGATTTGTATTCTCAATACGGCTAGTTTGGTCACACTTAATATTTGAAATTCTCTACCTGTGTAAGGGAGATGATAAAAGTGTATTCCAGTTACAGAAAGTATGGATGTTTTTCAGTTTTGCTTTTTCTTTAGAATACAAGACAGTGTTGGAGAACTTGCTTGGGGGAATTATATTTTAATAGTAACTACCTTCTGAGTGTGCTGCCCCTGCGCTAAAATTTCGGAGAGCGACAGACATGAAGACCCACATTGGAAGCTGAATCCAGACCAGCACAGTTGCTTTGAAGGGGTGGCAGTTATCCCGAACATAGAGCTCTGAAACAAGCCTCCGCATAGTCTTTAGGTAAGTGAGCCTAGTTTGAGGGAAGAGGGAAAAAGGGACAGGAGAAAATATCATGTGAATACTAGTTGTGCTTCATCCCTACAGGATAAACACACCCATGCTGTGGTTACTGGCTAAAGGATTTATGCAGGATTCTTGGTTGTCATAAGCTACACCAAAGTGAAGTGAGAGTCGCTCAGTAGTGTATGACTCTGCAACCCCATGGACTACATATTCCATGGAAATCTCCAGGCCAGAATACTGGACTGGGTATTCTTTCCCTTCTCCAGGGGATCTTCCCAACCCAGGGATAGAACCCAGATCTCCTGCATTGCACACAGATTCTTTACCAGCTAAGCCACCAGGGAAGCCCAAGAATACTGTAGTTGGTAGCCTATCCCTTCTCCAGCAGATCTTCCCAACCCAGTAATCAAACCGGGAATCTCCTGCATTGCAGACTGATCTCTTCATCAACTGAGCTATAAGGGAAGCCTCTAAGCTACACCAAGTGGCTGCCTGAAAAAAAGGAAAATAAAGCCTTTTACTCAAAGTTTGTTCACAATGTAAGCAAATTACAATTTGAGAAATGTGATGCTGTCAAACTACAGGCTTTGTTTTTGGAGGTCTTAGGCAAACTAGGCTTTTGCAAGGGAAATTTCACTACTAACATGGTATGACCAGAATTTAAATCAGAAATACTAGAGGTGAAAGCACATTTTACTCAAATTTCTCCACTCCAGCCAAACTCAATCACCTCATCCCTGAACATACCTTTCAGAGCAATGTGGTTTTGTCCTATGTATGCTCTTGACCTGTCAAAACAGTCTCCATTCTTCAATCAATTCTTTCATAAAGATTTTCTGTTTCTCTGTTAACCGTATTAGTCACTCCTGTTTTTTTTTTTTTAAACTTCTGTTCTTAAGTCCCACTTTCTAGACTACAGTATTGGATGGGTCTTCATCTTTAAATCTCTTGTGGCATGTTTTGTACAAGGTAGGTTTTCAATAGGTTTGCGGAATTTAATCAAATTATAACGCACCGAATTAAGACAGTACACAGAGACATTCCAGGCTCCTTGTAATTCAGTCTTCGCCCACTTTCTCAACTTTATTTCCTGTTACTCTTTTTCTGGCCCCTTGAATGACCTGGGTCATCCAACAACTCAGACTTTCACATCAGTATGCCTTGTAAGTTATTATATCATCTTTGCAGACTGTCCACTTTCCTGGCTGTCTGTTCACCTGACAAATTCCCTTTCATTCTTCAAAACACGGTTCCACTGACAATGCAGGAAACCCTCAGATGATGTCTTTCTCTAGAAAGTCATTCATCAGTGTGGGGATGCGTCTGGACAATCATCGCGCCAGGGCTGCCTAAGTACGGTGGCACAGTCTTATCTAGGCTGCATTTGTAACCCACCTGAGCAGCTCTAACGTGTTCTTCTGGGCTAGAGCTGTAGCCCTCAGACTTCCGTGATCAGTAAAACTTCAGAATTATAGGTTTACCAACTTTTTATTTTACCAAGTAAAGACATTAAGCTATAAGAATGATTTTTTTTAAAAATGGCAGGTCCTTTTAACACTATATAAAGAGGGACTCGATTTCATATTTAAGATAGTTGGCAAATTTATACCTATATAGATAAAAATATATGGATAGGGCCTTCCCTGGTGGCTCAAATGGTAAAGAATCTGCCTGCAATGTGGGAGACCTGGGTTTGATCCCTGGGTGGGGAAGATCTCCTAGAGAAGGAACTGGCAATCCACTCCAGTATCCTTACCTGGAGAATCTCAGGGATAGAGGAGCCTGGTGGGCTAGAGTCTCTGGGGTCACAAAGAGTTGGACATGACCGACTGACTAACACACATATACCCATATATATACACATTATATATTTATACTAAGAAACCCTTATTTTTCTCATTGCTGTGAGCTGCTGAACACTTTGTCACAGTCTAGTAAGAATCAGAATTTGGGAACCTAATTAAGCAGAAGTAGGGCAGGCTGATAGGAGAAGGAAGACTTAAAAGTTCTTAGGGGATGGCTGCCCACACAGAACATGACTTAAAAGTTCTTAGGGGATGGCTGCCCACACAGAACATGACTTAAAAGTTCTTAGGGGATGGCTGCCCACATAGAACATGGTCAAGCACCCTTGGGCAAGGGCTCTCAAAGAGCTCAGGGAGACGACAACACAGGATAGCTATAGGAGAGTAACAACCCCTGGCCTACCCAGGTGCTTTTACCATGGCATTTATATTTTCTGTCTCCGCATTCTTTTGGGCAGTCACCTGCTCTATGCTGTCAAAAAATCAAGTCTGTAAATAACCTGTATCTTTTGTTGACTGAAATCTCAAACTGGCACAGTTTGAAGCCTTCCCTAACTTCCCATGATGACCTGACTCCTCGTACATCATCTTTTTTACAGTTACTTAATCCAATCATTATTTGATTACACATCTGTCTTTTTCAGTAGTCCGGAGTCCTTGAAGATCAAGGAACTCTCCTTTCTCTTTTTTTTTGCTTTCAGTCCAGTATATAAACCTATCATGCCACAAAAACTTTTTAAAATATTAAAGAATAAAATGAACGACTTTGCTGCTAAAGCTACAGAATACCACACCCTGTAATAAATACATACATACATATCTATTTTTTCATGGTCTTACATGCAGTGAATTACCTGGCAACTCTCTTGGACCATCCCAACTGATGTGCACGAACTGCAACTTCTTGGTTAAGACGTTGTGCAATGTTTTTTATTTCTGGCTGCAAATTTTCCACCTAGCTAAAAAAAAGCAGACTTTGTTATGAGCACATTAAAGATCTGTATTCATAACCATTCCTAATTTTACTCTCTATTCCCTAAACTCATTTAAAAAAATGTGGTTTACTGGTTGTGTCAAGAAACTCGAAGACTGCTCACAAGATGGTAAGATATCCTCAACTGCAATCAAATTAAAATTCCAGCTTATACACTTATCAGTGTGATGTTGGGCAAATTATTCAACTTCTAGTCTTGTTCCTTATATAAAATGTATAACAGCACCTACTTCACAGGGTTATTTTAAGGATTAAATAAACCCTACACTCCACACTTTTAATGTTTCAATTCCTGTGTTTTCCAGTAATATAAACTGAAGAAACGGTAGTCTATTAAGTCTTTAGTACGCTCTTTGTAGCTACAGAGCCATAAAAAAATCTGCACTTACTTCTGCCTGTGTCAATTCTTTTTTGTAAAGTAGCTTACTGCCTTAAAGGTGCTGATGATTAACAGAAGCACTCCGGAAGTATCTGGGGACCTTAAGCCCCGGGAGAGACGCTGGCCCTCCTCGCCACGGAAGTGGGTACGCACGGTCCACGCGCAGCTCGGCACCCCTCACCTTGGCCAGGATGTAGTGCTGGTAGGCGGCCAGGGGCAGCGTGACGGCCCCGCGCAGGGCCACGGTGGTGAGGAGAATGCTGCCCCACCAGGGCAGGCCCGAGGCGGTGTGGGCCAAGAGCAGCACGTCCTCTGCGCCCTGTACCGGCGCCGACGTAGCCAAGGCCTCGTACCAGCCTCCCGCGCCGCTCGGGCCAACTGCGGAGACCGACGCCACCGCCCACACTGGCAGAGCGGAGCGACTGGCGCCGCCCGCGGGGGCCCGTGCGAGCGATGGCTCCAGGACACGGACTTGCAGGGGAGGCCGGGGCCGCAGCCACCTAACGCTGAGCCGGCACAGCATCTCTGCGCGGAGGCTGGGGCCGAATCGCCGGCCTCACGGACCAGCGGTGCTCGCACCGCTCCTCCGAGGCCGCTACGCGCACGCGCCGGCGACCCCGGCGTAAAGTGGGCGTGAGCCCGCGGGTAGCCACAATTGACCTTCCCGGTCAAGCCAGTGACGTACTGAGTCGCACTAGAGATGACGCACGAGGCAGGAAAGGCCCACCTTTCCCACGCGGCACTGAGCAAGCCTACTGCGCAGACACGAAACTTGCGCGCTGCTGTGGTGGAGCTTCTCGAGGCTAGACCGGAATTGTAGTGTTGAGGGTGGGGCTTGGTGCCCGGGTCCCGGTGAGGCGTTCTTCAGGAAGCTCTCGTTCTGTAAAGTCGGTCTTCGGCATATACCTTTCTGTTCTTTTTGACTTAGCTAATCATGTCATGGTTTAAGTTTTGTGGGTGCTTTTTGTGATCAGAAGGTAGCCCTCCATGTCTTTATGTGCGCCCCGATTGCTTCCGCTAGGGATTGAGGTAGATTACATTTAATCTATTTCGAACGCGTTGCTGAAATGGCGTGAGTTTCTGTGTTGTTAAAATCAAGTCTTTATGCACGAAGCATACTTTAGTCTGTGGCATAAATATTTAATTATCTGTCCTAATAAGTATTTTCAGAACCAATTTTAGTGTTTCATATTTCATTGTAAAGAGCAGTAAATTTATTAAGAGTAGAGAACCGTCTCCTGAGTTAAGGGGAATTATCACTGGCAGCTCGGTGACTTCTTTATTGCGGCTTAACATCCTGTATAAACTTTGAGGAGCCTGAACTGAAAGAACATCAGGTGTCTTCTGGTTAAAAGGAGCAGGCTAAATGTACATGGACTAGTTTTTAGCTTTGTGTTCCTGGGAACACAATGGGATGGCATGTAATTTCCTAACATAATGATCATCCCTAGACCTAGAGGCCAAACTGTGTTGAGGAACAAAATTATTGATTAAAACGAAGGTGTCGGCCAATATTGGGGTAATGTCAAACTGGAGCTACAGTTCCTGCTTCACTGTACACCTACCCAGGGATATCAGATATATTTTCTCTGGGTTCAGGAAGTGATCTTCCTTCAAATTGCATGATTAAATCCATTCATGAAATTTTATGTGTTAACACACACATCCCAACATATGTTGCATATAGAATTTCTTTTCCAAAAGTAAAAGCCTGTATCATTGTCTCCCTATCTGTTTGTCAAGTTAAAACAAGCAACCTATTGGTAGTGACTATTGGTTTAAAGTGGAAAAGAATTTTACATGGAATTATCTTGGCCTGAAGGTTGAGGGAGCAAAGGAACTTATATGCTGCTGCACTCCTCTCGTTGCAGAGACCTGATAACATTAGTTGGCCTTTCCATTGTGTCATTTAAGCCTAAGGACTGTGACCTTTTGATATGTAGGAGAAAAGGAGTTAATGAAAGGAAAAAGATCCTAAAATAAAAACTCCAAGTTTATGCATTCACTATTCAGATAATTTAAATCAAGAATTTTTCAAGCTATTCCTCAAATTCCTAAGACTTCCTTCTGTGGATTTGTATTCAGGAGTCGGGGCTGGAACTTCTTCAGAGTGTAGGTTCACCTTTTATGCTACATTTTGGGGTCACGGATTATAGTCTCATTTAAAAATGTTCCACTGCTTTAAGTTTGAATATTGTGATCTAAATAAAATTTATGAATATTTAACCTAATTTCATATACTTAAAACATACAGTTTACAATTTGGTTAATGGACTGGCTATCTACTTGGTATAGAATGTAGGGAGAATACAAAGTGTATTGTATGCAAATACAACACAAATACAAAGTGTATACTATGTACTGGTAACATTGTGATACCCTGAGTGTTTTGAGTTGAAAAGTATACTACAGAGTGACCATACAAATATTGGGCAAACCAACTGAAATTATGTCAACTCTAATACTTTGCAAATGGATATATTAAGTTTAAAAAGTTCATTTTTAAAATTTCTAAAAAGTTCAACTACATTTATTCCTGTCTTTTTATTTCTACATCACATAGCTGTTTTCTTAATTTCATTTAAAGCTCCTTAAAAACAAAGACTATATATTTACTTTCAGAAGTTTCTGAAATTCTTATTCGTCACTGTGCTGAACACAGGAATGGACGTCAAAATGTGAATACAGACTATTTTATATATATATATAGACTGTCTGTATGTACAGTCATTTAAATTTCTCTCTTCCCAAATATGCCTTCTCATTAACAAAAGAAACTTTAAAGTTTAGATATTTTCATGAGCAACTTAAAGTGATCCCTTGGAATCACATTTCTTTTTCCTATTAATGCATTGCTTTTTAAAACCAAAGTTACCTAATGTAGAATTAGCTTTTTTTCTCATTAAAAAAAACTCTCTTAAATTATCATTGACTTTTAAGTACTAAGTATACAATATTGGCTTTTACTTTTCAGAAGTGTGAACTGATTTCAAGGTAGAAGTCTAATATGAAACTCTTATGACCCATATATTAGTCCTATATTTTTACAGTCACATAAAGAAATTCTTATTTATGTCAAAGCCACAGCAACACATTTTTCTCTGTATTTACTTATCCAAAATATAAGTGATGGTATTTTTGCAATCAAGGTGTGTACCACTGTAGATTAAATATTAGAGCATTAATGATGCTCTCATCCTAAATTCCAATCATTTGGAATTTACAGCAGTTAATTCACAATACTCTCAGTTAACTGAGTGTTGTGACTTGCTTAATCTGGGATATATATATTTCCAAAAAGATTCAGGAGCATCTAGAATTTACAAATTATAATGTAAATATTCCAAACATTAAAAGACATCTGAATAGATGCATTTATCTAAAGTAAAAATACAGAGTACTGGTATACTGAATCTCCATGTTAGTAACGAAAAACAGTGAAATGGTCTTCCTTTGATATTCTGAATCATTCTGAAATAATCCTGAGTTAAAATTTGTTATTTGAAAGTTCTAGCATTCTTTAAATGTCACGCCAGATTTATCTGTTTAATCTAACACTTTGTATTGTTCTTAAAAATAAAGTGTGCAAAAATATTTATGAAATGTATAATTAGGTCATTTTAATCAAGAGAAAAACAGAATAATATTTTCATGAAAAACAAGACAGGAACTATTAGTAAACTATTTACCTCCTTTTTCTTGAGAAGAAAAATGATTGTAAGATAAGTATAGTAATTACCAAAAAAAAAAGTAATTTTCAATTACTAATAGATTGATTTAACTTTATAGTAACAGGAAACAGAAGGAAAAAATACCTTTCACATAAATACTAAAATCACTTTTTTTGAATATACTGCTATATGCTGAAATATATGTTGAAAAGGCATACCATGGGAATTCTCTTGGCACCAGTACACAAAATCATTTCTAAAATGGAATAATTGGTATAAACAGATTATACAGTAATTGGGATATTAATTCTTTTGGGATTTAAAGTGTGAACTAACCTAGCTGTTACATCTAAGAGTTAAGCTGCTTCTTAAAAGAATAATAAGAGAAAAGAAATACCTTATGTAGTCTGCAATTATACATACCACATACTTTCCAAAAAGGGGGAAAAAAAAGACCTGCGTGGTCTCAAAAGATGATTTTTTTTTTATTGTTCAAATAAAAGTGCACTGCATTACATCTGAAATATAAAAAATGTATCTGAAAAATGTTCCCAGTACAGACTTCTAAAACCATGGTATTATATTTAACAAGCCTGACCCCAAAAACTAAATTAGGAGCATTCCAATCAATATCCCCCTGTCCCATAGCTTTGAAGTAAAAAAAAAAAAAAGTTTTCTCTCTTTTTTAGCAAGACACCCTATCTTAAGAAATTCACTTTTGTGAGTCAACACAAGTCATGTGTTGTGATAAATACTGGGTGGTATCTGTTACCTAGTAGGATTATTTTAATTAAGAAAATAACCCCAGTAAACACAGAAAAGAAACTAAGCAAAAAGTTATAGGATAGTGGCAAAAGTCATACATAAAATACTCTGTTAAATAGCATTATACCCCTTTCTTAGTAAAGTGCAATTTTATGTCAGAGCTACATTTATTTGTAGGATATCATTTAGCTTTCCCTTAAAATATGGTTGTATCAATCACAGACAGGGAGAAAAACAAATTTATATATATTTTAAGACCACCTCCTAAATTAAAAGGTACAAATGTGTTTATAAATTTTTGGATATGTTTGAGAAATCTTTTTACTCTTAGGCAACCAGAGTAAAAGAAATCATTTAATTTACTTCAAAAGTCAAGGAACCATATTAATATTGTTAACCTGGGTGATCTATCTGAATTTTAGTTCATGTTTATGTTTCACCAGTGAGGAATTATGTCTATTATTTTTTAAAGACATTACTTCACTTTTATGCTTACTTTCTTTTATATTTCAACCATATAATTTATTGTATCACATGAGACAGGGTAGGACACACATTCTTCTTGGAATATGTTACTGTTTATTTTTTCAAGTGAAATGAATAGATAAATCCCACTGAGTAGTTTAGTGTGGCCCTGTGTCTTATATAAACAGGTTAAACCAGAGGCTTTATTTTGTAACCTGTGTATTCATGTCTACCATAAGTTGTCTTAATGACAAATACCAAATTTATTTTACTACTTGCCCCAAGTTAGCTGTTGATCTCTTTCACTGATAATATACAAACAAGTGTAGAAATTAAGATGGCTTTAAAATTTGGGGGGAAAAAAAAACCTTTAAGTAAATTATTGAAAACTGGAATTTTTATGTTGACTCCTGATGACTCCAAAGCCAATGTTAAGAATCAATATTATCCAATATAAAATAGTACATTGAATTGTTTAATAAGAAACAGTATATTAAGAGCTTGTATATGCTGACTGGGAACCAGTGGTGGCTTTTTAAATTCTCGGAAAGACTGAATGCTTTATGATTAGAAGAAACCACAGGTGATGATGCAGATTCTCCATCTCTCTGTAGCAGCCATT